TCATCAGTTAATTAAAATATGTACCACAATGTCAGAGGGTAATTTAAAAAGGTTATATAGGTTGAAGAGGGCTGCCACCTGTTTAAAAGGTCGAATTTAATTAACTTATATGAAATTTATTTGAAATACGGGTGCCAAGCGAAAAATTGTTATGAGCTCTTTAGTTTGAACACTAAAATTATTTTTGAGGTGTTTTATGAGGGTTGCCGTCCGTTTAAAAAGTTATATTTAAAGCCAAATGAATAATTCAAATATGGATATCAGTCGAAATGGGCTTGAAAAGGCTTTAATTCTAAAAAGATTAATTATCAAAAGATAGATATCAATCGAAATGTGTTTGAAAATGCTTAATATCTGACCACTGTTTGAAAAATCAAATTCAAATTAATTCATCAGTTAATTGTAATTTGTGTCACAAGAGAAAGAAATTGAAAAATACTTTAGCTTGAAAATACGTTTGAAAAGGATTTCCACCTGTTTCAATAGTCAAATTTAGTCAACTTATACACAAGTTTCATAAAAAATTAAAAAAAAACTCGAGTAAATAAACAAATATATTTTATTAGGCTTGCCACCTTTTCGAAAAGTCGTACTTATCTAACTAAGTATATAAATATATTATATGAAAAGGAATTTTTTGTGAAGGTCATTTGATTTGCACCGTTCTTTCCAATTGCAAGTAGGGGCTGTATATATGGGTTAAGATTTTATTTTTTGAAGTTAGAACATTTAGATGAAATATGGCAATCCAATCGCTTATAACTCCGAATAACATTTAGAATATTTTTATAATTTTTAAATTCAATTTTGGGCGTTTCAACGCCATGCGGGTTCACTAGTTTCCATTTATTCTTTGATTTGATCGCTTTACCGTCGTCCGCTGTAATTCTGGGTGCAGCTTGATGCTTCAATCCTCATTTTTCCCCTATCGCTGATTTACAGGCATACATACAGGGCAGTTATAGCTTTCTTGCAACGCTCTTCTAAATCTTTATCTTCATCTTTTATTTTGACCTTCATCTTCACTTTCATCTCTTCCTTAATCTCAATCTTGACCTTGCCTTTGACTGCCTTTTCCTTTGTCTTTATCTCTGTTGTCAAAATTGATACGCGATTCTTCATCTCAGCTGTCCAATCCAAATGAACATCTATTACTTCAACCGGGACCTAATTTTGATAGCAGAGATCTAAACTTTAGTCCATAAATATCCCATCAAATTCTTATTATAATCAGTGTTGCCATTTTAGTTTTCCAGCTAGATTTAGCATTCTATATTCGGGTTTAACCAGAACAATTTTGTTTAGCTTCTAGCTTTCTTTTAAATGAATAGGCTTTTTTAGCTTTTTACTTTTGATAAAAATATTAGCTACAAATGTAAATAGTGTTAAGATGTTTAATGCGTGGTTTAGTGTTAGGTATGTAATAAAAAATAGAGACAAATGCTGCATGATATTTTACTTCGGCGAGTTTTCATTTAAAAAATATACACTCCTAATATGTATACAAATATTGAATACCTTTTCAAAAGATGTTCAGTACCGCGAAAAATTATACTTTGCGACGATGGAGTACAAAGACATCGCACATCACATCGTTTGTATTTTCCATCGTCAGAAGACACAAAGAAAGGTTTCTGAAGCCTCGACTTTATCCGTTTTCTGCGTGGGTAGACTCGTTTTTCAACTCTTTCGCCACTCAGATCCCCTTTAGGAAAGCGCGAACGGAATCAGTAGTTGCAAGACAACACCGGTGAATTTCTACACGGATGGAGCGAAGCCTAACGAAAGTGTCGGTAGGTGGTTCTTTTATGCAGGGCGCTGTTCAACAACTTTTGATTTAGGCTTTAGGTTTTCACGCGACGGGGCTAAATGTCACACCGATTCGTTGTTTACTTACGTACAAAATAAGCTGTTCCTTACAAAATTTTAACATTTTATCTTTTGACACTATGATCAGGTTTAACAACAACAAAAACTTTTGATTTGTTAATTTGGCTCTTTCAGGCATATCTCAAATTGTGATTTAGCTTTTTATACCCGAGCGCACTTGTGCACAAGGGTATTATAACTTTGTTCACATAACGGTTGTTTGTAACAGGCAAAACGAATCGAGATAGATATAGACAAATGTATACATAAATGATCAGAATGAAAAGAGAAATCGATTAAGCGGTGACTGTCTGTCCGTCCGTCCGTCCGTCCGTCCGTCTGTGCACACGGTAACTCGAGTAAAAATTAAGATATCTTAACGAAACTTGGTACATGTACTTCTTTCGGGCGTAGGACGGATGGTATTGAAAATGGGCAAAATCGGACAATAACCACGCCTACCTCCCATATAACGGTAATTTTCAGAAATACGAAAAGTGCGATATTTTAGTAACTACTGAAGATAATTCACTCAAAATTTATATTTACAATGAGTTTTAGACGAAAAATAAAAATATTAAAAAATTTTGGCAAATGGGCGTAGCCACGCCTACTTATGGTTACATGTGTATATCTTGGTAACCGCTGCACCAATTTCTTCCAAACTTGGTATAGTTATTGGTCCTGCTACAACATACCAAATGGCCGAAAATTTTTAAAATGGGACAATAACCACGCCCACATCCCATATAACGGTAATTTAGAAAAATACGAAATCCTCGATAAATCAGTAAATATTAAAGCTATTTTATTCAAAATTGATGGCTGCAACAATTTTTTGCCAAGAAATACGCTTATGATACAATTTTGGAAAATGGGCGTGGCACCGCCCACTTATGATCACATATATGTATCTCGCTAACCGTTCTAGCAATTTGAACCAAACTCGGTATGGTTATTGTGCTTGCCACATAAAAGCAAAGCGTTGAAAATTATTGAAATCGGACTAAAATTACGACCGCTTTTCATATAACGGTATATTTCAGAAATGCTTGAAACTTCAATATTTCGAAATTGAAGGGCGCTAATTTACTCAAAATTGATACACCCCGGCTTACCATCTAGCGGAAGGTTTCGGAAAGGTGAAAAAACATATATTTAATAATTGCGCCGGGTATTTAATGTTCGGCTCCGCCCGAACTTAGACTTTCTTACTTGTTTAACTTTATTTTTTTACCAATATAAAAAGTTCTGGCAACACTGATTATAATACCATGGTGTGTTTTGTTTTACAAAAATTGACCTTTGAGCGTATGAGGCGCCCGCTACGTGCGGCGTCCGTTGCGTCTATTAATATTCACTTTGCTAAAACATACGACTAACTATAAAAAATAATCTTATCAAATATTTTTGGCGGCACAACTAACAAAATGTGTACTAATATTAATGCTGCCAAATATTTTTGTATAAAAATGAAACGATTCAAATTTAGCGGCGATTTTATAGTTGCTAAAAATATGTGAATTTAAGTGTGAATTACACAATGCATGACGCGAATTTCTCACAAACTATTTATTAATTTAATATAATAGCCAGTCACACACACACACTTGCATTCAAACTCACATTAAACAATTAAGCCAGTTGCTCTCTTCACTCTCTCGTGCGTTTATTTCGTTCACAGTTCGCCGCTATACCCAACTGCCAACAATTCATATAACCCTTCCAATGGCCAGGTAACACCGTACGACCACTGCAACCAGCAGCGACAACAACAACTACCGCAATATTACAAAACCACGATTCCAGTGAATGAACATTGCCAACACCAACAACTGCAACAGCAGCAAATCGCCGCCGCCACGGCCAACAGCTGTCACTTTGGTGGAGGTAATGGTGGTAGTGGCGCTGGTGCTGGTGCTGGTGCTTGTGCTGGTGCCGGCGGCGGTGGAGCTTTCGCGCAATCAGCTGTTGGTGGCGCTCAGCTGACTACTACTACTACCAGCAACAACATCAATGCCTCCCTTGGTGACGCAATGACCGTCAAGCACTGTGCAATCGGAATCCCCATG